GAGAAGATTTATCCATGGTCAATCAACTACAATATTACGGATAATGAATTTGGAGAAATTCACCAGTTATCCACGTCAATGTAATGATCTTTAGTAATAAAACCTTGCGGTTAAATCAACAACATTTTGATACCGATTCTGTACTACTTTAATTCACAATATGTTCAATAATCCAACATTAAGCCACGATATTACGACAAATTACTGTGTGGACCATGGTCCACCATAGGTACATTTTTATAATGAATGTACATTATAAAACACAATATACACTCAGAATAAAAAAAAAATATACATCATCCGCAAAAAAAATGTACAATTTGACTTTACGGAATTATAATCATTTTTTAATTCAATATACATTATTCTTAACTTGAATCTTCATTACTTAATCGAACATTAATCAATAACTATACACATATTATTTCTATCAATACAAGTTTCTAAAACGCAATTGGGCCTTGCGTTTTAGATGTACTATCCGCCAGCCCAGTGTATGGTCCATCTGCTCCTGCCCAGTAAATGGGTAAAACGCAACTGCAAATTGCGTTTTCTAGACTGGCAGATTGGGCTTGGCCTATCAAATCATCACATGGCCCTTGGACTATCAAATCAAAGCATGCATTGGTATGTACAAATCCCATACGAAAACACAACTACGAGTTGCGTTTTCTCTGGGCTGAGGTGACTGCACATCTCTGCCATACGGCCTCATGCACATCACACATCACACACCTGCAACACAGTCCAAACTGGTACCCAAAACGCAACAAGCTCATGCGTTTAACATCAAAACGCATCACACACTTGCGTTTTCAATGATATTATTCCCACATCACTTCCCTATAAATATCGACATGATACATTTCGCGGATTTACAATGAAACCCCAAAATTTATTCTTATTAAATTTTACTTCCTTTATCTAATCAATACGAGATGGGAAGTTTGTTTTCTTCATCTCAACTATCTCATGCCCAATACTACATACCAAGATTTTTTCTCTGTGTTTCTTCATTGTCAAAAGAATTTCAACTAAATTTCGCGCTTCGGGTTTCGGTTTAAGGGGCTTGCCCAGTTTTGCCCCCGTAGAGCTCTACTCAAAGGAAGATTAATGTCTTCTATTACGAAAGACGTATTTCCTTGAAGAGCCATCTACACACCGGGTTGTCCAGTCAGCAAGTAAAGTTGATCATGTACGACCAAAAGGGGGGAAGCACACCAGAGCAACTTAGGCTTGCAACTGGGCAAAAATGTGGAGTTTTGGTGCAAGAGGTCCCCAATTGGTCCAATTGGGGACCTCTTGCACCAAAACTCCACAGAGGCAGCCCGCAACAACCGTTTTTACGCAAAAATTTGTTTTCGAGTACAGAAATAATATTTCATTTCATGTACCTATAACTGTATGAATTTACGATGAATAACATTTATATTAGTTTCCTGTTACATTTCAACTAATTCATCCTTCAAATTTATGTAAATTATATTTTATAATACACAACTAGCCGTTACGGATATTTCATAATAACCGTCTTTATCGATTAACTTTGGTCAACATCAAAAATAATAAATTTCACCAAACACATCATTTATTACCATTTGCCAAAATCCTTATACTATAATCGACGGTTCGTAGTTCCAAGAAACAAACGCCAGGATATAAATAGGATTCGAACCCTGGCCAACCACATATTCAAACACATCCTAAGCCAACTCACCTAAGACATCTTTTATTACCATTTGCCCATTTTTTTATACTTACACAACACCTGCGTAATTCCAAAAAAAAAAACACGCCAAGATATAAATGGGATTCAAACCCTAGAAAACTACATATTCGACCGCATGCTAACCCAACTCAGCTACAAATCTTTCATTTATATTCCCGCATTTATTAATAATAATACTATAACTCGAAAAACATTAAATAACATATGTACATACAATTAATACAATTTGAACCCTAACAACCATCACTGGTTCAACTGACGTTTTACCAACTACGCTAACCCACCGATTGTTATCAAATGCTTATACTAATAATCAACTCTTGAAAATTCAATTAAATGAACAATACAAAACGCAACTCTCAATTACGTTTTAGGTTGCTTCGCCGGCGAGTGGCCGGAAAATTTAACGTTTCAAAAACGCATTTACAACTTGCGTTTAACCGATTCAGCAAAAACTCACTTGCGAATTGCGTTTTGTATGTCTCGCCGGTCTTCGACTTCGCCGGCGACTAGGAGTACAAATACTTCACAAAAACGCAACTTGGTTTTGCGTTTTACGTATAATACGTAAAACGCAAAACATAGTTGCGTATTGTGGGATACGGTATTGTCGCAAAAACGCAAGAGCCTATTGCGTTTTACATATACAAATACGTAAACGCAACTGCCTCTTGCGTTTTCCACGAATACAAGAAAAATACGAAATACATCAAAAACGCAACTACGAATGGAGTTTTGCATATTTTTGTCCAAAAAAAAAATACGACACATTTTGGGAATTTTTCCTTGTTGACCGCATATTTTTGTCTTTTTCCCTTTCTTTGCATGGCATGGGCACGTGCATCAAAGTCATAAGTATATATATATATATATATATATATATATATATATATATATATATATATATATATATATATATATAATATGTAAATACTTATATGAATTACATATATATTTTATATGTAATTATATATTTCCCATGCTTGATATATCAGATAAAATATATCTTATGGAAGTTAAGTTTTAAATTTAAATAATTAACTTCCATGTAACTTCTCCAAACTGCTATATTTACATCTATAAATATGTGGAGAAATGTCTGAAAAGACACATGCAATAAACTTGCATTAAACTGAGATATTTCACAGTACTGCATTTCAACAGGAAGTTCTTAAACAAAGCAACTTAAGAATTTCATCATCTTCTTGTATCCCATAAGATTAAATCTTGAACCTTGTTGCTTTATATAAGGGAGATTTAAAGCTTATAGGAAAGTGATCACACGCCTGAAGATCCTGTTTTCTCACTTCCCTATCATCAGATACTCCAATTTTCCTAACAGAGTAGGGGTGTTAGCGAATAGGGCTTTCGTCAAACTATTCGTGTTCGTGTTCGGCGTTCGTTTATTAAGGTAAATCAACATTAACAAACAAAATTTAGAGCTCGGTTAATAAACGAACAGAGCTTGAACAATTGTAAGCTCGTTTGCTAATAGATCATGAACAATTAATCTCGTTTATGTTCGTTTACTAATGTTCGTGAACAAGCTCGTTTATGTTCGTTTAATAATGTTCGTGAACAAGCTCGTTTGTATTCGTTTAATAATGATCACCAACATATATATAGTAGTATATTAGTTTTGTAGTTGTGTTGTTTGTTTGATTATTGTTCATGAACGTAGATTATTTATTGTTCACGAACGAATTGTGATCATGAACATGTGCATGTGTTTGTTTATTAAGTGTTCAAGAACGTAAATGAATATGTTCTTGAACGTGCTTGTTAATGAATATGTTTGTGAACGTGTTGGTTCATTAACGTTAACGAACATGTTTGTGAACGTGTTCGCGAACGTTAAAGAATACTAACAAACGCTTAACAAACGAACACGAACACGAACACTCCAAATTTCTTAACAAACGAACACAAACAACCTTTGTTCTTTTATGTTCGGTTCGTTAAAAGCCCTATAAAAGAGCATTAAAGGGAAGAGAAAGAAGAAATACGTTTTTATCAACTTAAATATACACCTCAATCTATCATTGGACCAGGTCGGGTCCATGACAATAGATTTTTAGATTTATATAAACAAAAGTTCAAGTTAATGTAGATAATATTACAAGTTCATAAAAATATAGAGAAAATTGTCAAATAGGTTCATAAATATTTTGTGAAAAGTTAATTAACTCCACAAACTTTTAAAAAGGTCAATTGAACATATGAACACACAATTTTTAATCGATTGACCCTATTAGTAGGTAACTTTTCTGGTAAAAGCCAGTAATTGCCCCATAGTGCACTACATAAGCGTTAGAGTGGGTACTTGGCTGCCACATAAGCCTAAATAAAAAAAATTAAATTAAAGAAATAAAAATTAGAATTACCATTCAGCCCAGCGTCTTCTTCCTCTGTGTCTTCTTCATCATGGTTTCTTCTTTTTCTTCTTCTACTTCTTATTCTTATTCTTATTCTTTGTACTCCATATGGGTCATCATAATCATCTGAAATTTCAGACCACCATCCCACCTATGTTCATATAATCCGATAAATACTTTTTTCAACTTTAGAAACCTTTTCAACTTTCTTACAATTTTTTTGGTTCTATTTAAGGTTCCTGGATTTGGTTAATGATGATATGCAACTTGAAACCTTGTACTTAAAGTTGACTTGAATGTACTTAATTAATAAACTATGAGCGTTATATATATTCTTGTTCTGGATTTCGATGGTACGCCTACAACGCTCGCTGCTACTGTACTGTTGTGTTTCGAAAATAACTAATATTGTCAAAATAATCAACTTTCCCAATCTATTTTCAAACCGTAATTGCTATTTTCATGCCCTAATTCAAGAAGGGAGCATCTGATTTTTAGTTTGTGTTTTTGTATATTTCTGAGTGTTAAGTAGTATTTAGGGTTCGTAAAAGGCCGGGTTGATGGAAGAGTGGAAACCAAAGAATAATATATGTGTGTGAATTTTTTCTGCAGATAGGCTATTATTATGACCCATATGGAGTACAAAGAAGAAGAAGAAGAAGATGCAGTGAAGAATACGCAAAGGAAGAAGACGCAAAATCATGATTTTAATTTTTATTTCTTTAATCTAATTTTTTTTTAATTTATGCTTATGTGGCAACCAAGTACCCATTTTAATGCTTATGTGGAGAGCCATGAGGGAAATTACCGGCTTTTACCAGAAAAATTACCGACTAATGGGGACTAAAAGTCGTGTGTTCAAACTTAGATTAAAATTCTTGTTCCTAATTGCGGATATGGTAATAGATTCTCTCTCAACTGTCTCTTCTCCGGCGGCGACCGATCGGTCGCCGGAAGACCAAGACTTGCTAGAAAGGAGTACCAAGAAGGCCAAGCGAGGACGGGATGCAGTAGGAACGACTGCTGAGCCCTCTCCCAAACAGGTTACTATGGAGTCACCCACTGAACCAAGAGCTTTTTCGCCGGAATCGTCTCAATGGAGGACGCCGGTGATAACACCGAATCAGGTCTGGAATCGCAGAGAATCGTTTCAACCAACTGAGGAAGCAGAAGAGTCTGATGATGATACTATGGAAGAAGACGGTCGCTCCTTCGACTATCCAGTCATCAAGGTTACGAAAGAAGAAAAGAAGAGACTTCGCCGGCCATGGCGTAGGTCTCTCATACTGCGCGTACTGGGCAGAACCGTGGGATATTCTTTCCTGCTCCAACGATTACAAAGAATGTGTAAGACACAGGCTAGTTTCGATTTAATTGCACTCACTAACGATTGTTATATAGCTAAATTCGAAACCCTTGCCGATTATGAAGCGGTAAAACTCGGTGGTCCATGGATGGTCCTTGACCATTACCTGATTACACAAGTTTGGAGACCAAATTTCGACCCAAGAAGCAGCAGAACGGATAAGATTTTGGCGTGGATACGCTTCCCTTCGCTCCCAATTGAATACTTTGACGAAGAGTTTTTAAAGAAAATCAGAATTTCGATCGGGAAACCAATCAAGATTGATGTTACGACTGGTCTAGCTTCGAAGGGTAAGCTTGCAAGAGTATGTGTAGAACTGGATATTACTAAGCCGCTCTTGTCCAACTTTGTGATTAACATGACGGAATGGCCGATCGAGTACGAGGGAATCCACTATATCTGCTTCAAATGTGGAGTCTACGGTCATCGTACGGACCTTTGTGGTAAAGATGCTCCTCCATCACCAGCTGTTGAGGAGAATTCGACTGGTACGAGTGAGAGGCCACCGCCTGCTCCTCCGGTACAGAAACCCAAAGAAAAATAGGGGGCGTGGATGTTGGTAACCAGAAGGGAAAGAAGATTCTGGAATAGACGCACAACCATGCCTGGTGCGGACCAACAGAACCCGAGACAACAAATGGCTACAGAAAACACTCCCCACTGGCCACCTGAGGTTGTCTCTCCATCTCGCTATGCGCCTCTAGACGGCTTGGAGGAGGCAGAAGAAGCTCTTCGGCCCATGGCCCCAATCGCCCCCATGGAGGTACAGCAACAACCTAGAAACCTTCCGAGAATTAGGACAACTTATCGTGGAGGACTACAACGGGTTGTTCCAAGAGATCCCGAGACGATTCCTAGGCCACTAGAGCCACAAGCAGCTCGAACTCACCCAACTACTCCCCGTCGAGGAACTTTCAGAGGCAGAGGAGGAGGAGGAGGTAGAGGTCTTCTTCCTAATAGAGCAGCGGCAGAACAGGAACATATTCTGGTCAGAGGTTCTAATGGGGGAAGAACGATCACCACTCATATAATTCAACAGATGGATGATGCTCAAGTTACCCCCATGCTTGCAGACTTTGAGAACACCTTTAAAGAAGTTCCTCCTGATACTGACAACAACTCGGAACTAGATGCACACCATACCGAGGTCATGCAGGAGGATACTGGTCAACTTGACCCTGTGGTTTGTGAAGGGGTTCCTAGCCTGCGTCTATAGACGCATTTTCTGGATTCCTCTTGTTTTTATGTTTATTCTTTCATGGAATTGCCAGGGTGCGGCCTCGGCCCTATTCAGGCGCACCCTCAAATATTTTTTGTCTACTTATAAACCTTCGTTAGTCTGCCTCTTTGAGCCAAAAGTCTCAGGGATGCAGGCTAACGAAATCTGCTCATCTTTTGGTTTTAATGATTGGTGCAGGGTAGAAGCAGTTGGATATTCGGGTGGTATTTGGTTACTGTGGAAGGAACCAATATCTATCGAGTTACTTTACACGCATCCTCAATTTATTTCATTCCAGGTACACGAGGATGGTGCACTACCGTGGCTAATGTCAGCAGTCTATGGCAGTCCAAACTTAGCGTTAAGAAGGAAGCTATTTGCAGATCTTTCAGGGCACTCTTTCGATCCTCAAGGACCTTGGCTGGCACTTGGGGATTTCAACTCTGTCTCGGATCAAAGCGAAGTCAGCAATCCGGAAACTTTTTCTTCCTCTAGATGTGTAGCATTTAACAGTTGGATTCATAGAGAAGGCTTGGTGGACCTTGGATACTCGGGTTCATCATACACTTGGATGAGAGGTATAGACACCCCTTCATTTAAAGGAGCATGTTTAGATCGTGGACTATGCAATGTCGAATGGAGACTAAGGTTCCCAGACGCAAGCATTTCCCACCTCCCCATGATTGGATCGGATCATTCGCCCCTTCTAGTGTCAACGCTCGGAATTGCTCAGCACACTGCTCCCAATAGATTTAAGTTCAACACGGCATGGACGACACACCGAACCTTTCAGGCGGTCGTTCAATCATCATGGAAGGAAGACCGGGATTTAATTTCTAACTCTGCAGCTTTGGTCCAGACCCTTACTGAGTGGAATAAGTCCACATTTGGAAATGTCTTCCTAAGGAAGAGACGTTTACTAGCAAGACTGGAGGGCATTCAGAGAAGCCTATCAGTATCCACAAGGTCAGATTTGATTAAACTGGAACGTAGACTTCGGAAAGAGCTAGAGGAAACGCTATATCAAGAAGAACTTACATGGTTTCAGAGGTCGAGGGAAGAGTGGATTAATTCCGGGGATAGAAACACCCGGTTTTATCAATTGGCAACCTCAATCCGAAGAAGTCAGACCAGAATCGATAGCTTGAAAAAAGAGGATGGTTCAGTCTTATTAGAAGTTGACGCGATCAGGAATTATATGCAAGAATACTTCAGAGACTTATTTTCAGAAACTAGTAGAGCAAACACGCAAAATTTGCAGCATGGCTCTTTTCCCTCACTCCCCGATTCGGACTGGATCCCTGTCTACTCACCAATTACGATTGAGGAAGTCAAAGCATCTCTATTTGAAATGTCACCTTGCAAGGCACCAGGCCCCGATGGCTTTACGGCTGAATTCTACCAAAAGAGCTGGCCTACTACTGGCGAATCACTCTTTCATTTCGTTAACAATTTTTTTGATCATGGTTTCTTTCCTTCTGGCATTAATGATACGTTTATCTCTCTTATTCCTAAGGTCCACAAACCAGAGTATGCCAGACAATTCCGTCCCATCGGTCTCTGTAATGTGGTCTATAAGCTGGTTACGAAAATCATGTCATCACGGCTTAAGTCGATATCCAGGAAACTTGTAGGCCCCCACCAAACCAGCTTCATCCATGGCCGGCAAATTACGGATAACATCCTCGCCTACCAGGAACTATTACACTCCTTAGCAAACAAAAAGGGAAAGAAGGGATGGATGGTTTTGAAGGTTGACTTAGAAAAGGCATACGACAAACTTTCTTGGAACTTCATAGATGACACCTTGCAGGACATCGGCCTCAATCATGCTTGGGTCAGAAACATCAAGCACTGTGTCTCTACTTCACGCCTAGCGGTCCTTTGGAATGGCAAACAATCTGATTGGTTCTCCCCGGAAAGGGGAATCAGACAGGGAGACCCCATATCCTCTCTTTTGTTTGTATTTTGTATCGAAAGATTGAGTCACATTGTGACAAATTCTGTTAATCTTGGCCAGTGGAAAGGTATTAAATTGTCTAATGACGCTCCTAATATAACACACTTATTTTTCGCAGATGATTTGGTGTTCTTTGGGGAAGCCACCACCTGCCAAGCTTTGGAGATGAAGAGATGCCTTGATGTATTTTGCTCCGCTTCTGGTCAAAGTATGAGTCTTCAAAAATCGTCCGTATTCTTCTCCAAGAATACAAGTCATGCGACCCAGGGGGAAATTGAGCAAGTATTGGGCGTTACAAAAGTCGCTGATTTGGGTAGATACTTGGGACTTCCCTCAATTCATGGTAGGATGAACAGTGGGAACTTCAGTGACATGTTGAATAAAGTTCAAGCAAGACTTGCTGGATGGAAGTCCAGATCTCTATCTTTAGCTGGTCGCCATGTATTGGCTCAGTCTGTGCTATCAACTATTCCATATTTCACCATGCAATCCACGTTATTACCAGTAGGAGTGATTGAAGCCATTGACAGACGATTCGAGGTTTTATTTGGGGCAGCAAAGACGGAGAAAGGAGATGCCACCTAGTAAAGTGGGAAGTGGTGATGGATAGCAAAGCGAATGGCGGTTTGGGTCTTAAAAATCTTAGACAAATGAACATGGCTTTCCTTACTAAGCTAGCATGGAGATTCTTTCGGGAGGAAGGCTGTCTTTGGGTAAGAATTCTCAAAGCAAAGTACAGAGTCACGCCCACAGATCTCTCAACATGGCAGCCAAGACACAACAACTCTATTGTTTGGAGAGGAATTCTCAAAGCCCTTCCCATCCTTCAAAGGGGTATTAAATGGCACATAGGAAATGGCAGATCCACACGCTTTTGGACGGACATTTGGTTGGATGATTCTCCTCTGCGTACTGCTGTGATTGCACCATTAGCTCCTTCTGTCCTAAATAACGTAGTAGCTAACTATTGGATTTTGGGAATAGGCTGGAACTGGGACATGCTTGATAGCCTCCTGCCAGCCCCTATTCTTAATAGGCTCGCTACATTTACTCTCATCGAAGATCCTAGTGCAGTAGATCAAATTGTTTGGTACAAAGAAAATGATGGCCAATGTTCAGTAAGCACAGCATATGAATTAGCTATGGGCTCAACGGAATCACCGGAAGCGGCAAAGTGGAATAATATTTGGAAACTCAAAGTGCCGAACCGCATATGTACATTTCTATGGCTCGTTAGACACAATAGAATCATGACGAACCAGAATCGAAGAAGACGTGGCTTCATAAATGATGAGAACTGCTGGTTCTGTTTAACGACAACAGAGGACACAGATCATATCCTAAGATTCTGCCCACTTGCAGAGGAAGTCTGGAAAGCCGTCCTACCATAGTATCAGGATCAGCTACGCCACCTCCCTTTGGTCGATTGGTTAGATGAAGGGCTAAAGGCCAAAGGATCTAGGAGAAAACCAGGCAATGACAACTCTACCTTTTCAATTACACTTTGGCGGCTATGGAAATGGCGCAATGAGGCCGTATTCAACAACTCTTTTACTCCTTTGAAGTCCAAAATCGCTTTGATCACATCCCAAGCCAACGAGATCAACCGCTCTTTTACAAGATCTAAAGGCACTCAACCTTCCAATGATCTGGCATGGAAGATGCTTTGTTGGACTAAACCCCCGGATGGTATCCTTAAGCTCAACATCGACGGAGTAGTTGCTATGGACTCACACGCTGCAGGCTGTGGCGGGGTGTTTAGAGACTCATCAGGCTGTTGGAGAACAGGGTTCCTAGTGAAGCTAGGAATTTGCACACCCTTTGAAGCCGAAGCTTGGGCAATCCTTAAAGGAATTGAAATCGCCCACTCCATTGGCATCAGAAGGATCCACATAGAAAGCGATTCGGATGAAGCAGTGGACTTTCTCTGTGCGTCTAGAGTTTCTACCACTGCCGCGCACAACATTCTTATAGCATGTAGACGGGAGCTTCACCACTTCGACTTCTGGCAGATCAACCATATCTTTAGAGAACAAAATTGTGTTGCGGACACGCTAGCTAAGTTGGCCATCAACCATGATTATGGTCTTCTATCATTGAATGACCCTCCAGATGAAATTAGAGGAAGCCTGGAAGATGACATGTTTGGCTTGCCCTCGTGGCGTAATGTGAATATGTTTGTATAAACTGTAATTCCATCTTGGGTATCTCCCTTCCTACTATATAAAAAAAAAAGTCGTGTGTTCATGTGTTTAATTGACTTTTTTAAAAGTTCGTGGGGCTAATTGACTTTTCGCGAAATGTTTAGGGGTCTATTTGACCATTTTTTCTAAAAATATATTATTATTTATTTTGTTTGATAAAT